AGAGAGAGAGAGAGAGAGAGAGAGAGAGAGAGAGAGAGAGAGAGAGAGAGAGAGAGAGAGAGAGAGAGAGAGAGAGTAGATTAGATCAGATCAACAGACAGCAAGATATACAGAGAGACAGGGAGAGTAGCTGTCAGGTAGATAAAAGGTTGCAGGTATGTTAGCAAATAGGCGCCCAGGTAGGCAGGTAGGAAGTAAAAAAACTGTTAGATGATTACGAGGTCTGTCCAATTGTTCTCATTCCTATTTGAGTGGCTCTACTTTCCATACAGTACTCAGTTCAAAAAGAAAACAAATGCAGCGTTTCTTGATTCTTTTGCTTGTCATTGTTGAGTGCGGCCGAGCCATGCTACCTTCTTCCCCCGAAAACAACGTACGGTCATTATAGCTGCATTTGAGGCATCTTCCAGTCTAGGTACAGCTATAATGACCGTACGTTATATTCGGGGGAAAAGGTAGTTACCTTCCTCTCCTCTGCACTTTCGCGCCTAACAGCAGCAGCTTGGTGGTCCTCTGTCATGCTTAACTATAGCTATTTCGCTTATGCTCAGATGGCTGCAGACATCCATCAGAACAAAATAGTCCGGTCGATAGGTCTGAATAGTCAAGACTCGGACGTCTGCATTGTAGCAGCCAATCCTGTAGGCCGCGGTACAGCAGCAGCTTGGTCCTCTGCCATGCTTAACTAGCGATATACATATTCAGCCTCCTGATGAGTCGGTGAAACTCAGACGAACAGTTTGTCACAGCCCTTCGTTTGTTGTCCTCTTCTCCCTCTCTGCCTAGTACGGTTTACCAGGCAGCTCTGATTGACTGTCAGGAGGTTTCCTCCTCCTTTTCTTTACCTCTTTGCCTTTTGGTTGCGTGCAAGTGGGTCCTTGTGACACACGGGGATGGGGCCAGCCAGCGCTCAACCTGTCATCCACGTGGCTGGCCTTGTACGTAAGAGGTGATGAACAGGTGGGCCTTTCCTTCCTTCTTTTCCTTTCCTTGTTTTGCTTTTTTTTTTCGCCTTGGCGCTCTGATTCACAGCGTGACAATATATATGGCTGCAGACATCTCATCAAAGCGATAGTCTGGTCTGTAGGGCTGAATGGTCAAGACTCAGACGCCTGCATTGCTGCGGTCAGTGGCTGCAGTCAGTCCTGTGGGCCTTTGTCCTAATCTGAAAGTAATGGTAGGATATTCCGATATTATATTATTATTATTACAGTAATGAGAGAAAATTACGTTCCTGGGCGTGGTTTCTTGGCCTTTTGGCTAAGATCAAGTGTAGTATCTGTTCTGATCAGTAAAAAAAAAAAAAAAAAAAAAAGAGTTTGCCAGAATATCTCCACCGAGAATGCACTTGGACGTGCAGATGATGATATCCATAACCTGTACCGAAAATCTGCAGACGCCTCGGTCCTGACAGCGATCTCTGCTCTCTGCTTACTTTGTGATCTCTGCTTTACCCAGCCGGTGTGGGGTAAATGGTACACCTAGGAATTGTTGATAAACAGACCTCAGTTCAAATCCAGTTGGAATCAGATGAGGAGTATGTAGTATAACTCTGAAGAGTTTACCTGGGGCTGGTCAGCTCAACGATTATATCTCAAGGCCCTCATCCTTTTTGAAACAAAAAGGAGAAAAAGAAGAAAATCTTCTTTCTGCCGACTTTTACTGTCACAGGGGTGTGTGGGCCTTTTTTTTTTTTTTTTTTTTTTT